AGCACAAGCCAAAGCCAAAGCTATCATCAGCCACTACATTCCTCTGAGAAGTAGCTACACACACCTGTTCTTTGATTTCCTGAAGCTTCCGGCTCTGTTCCCTGATATCGTGAAGGAGCTGCAGTGCCTTGTCATCCTCCTGAGACACTTCCATCCGAGCCTGCTCCAGACTTCGCTTTAAGCTCTGCAAAAGCGCAACGTTAAATACACAGCCACTTTGCATGCAGCTGCACCAAGGAAAATGTTATCAGTTATGGATAAAAAAACACACCAACAGGACAGCAAAACCCAAAGCTTGCATCTTAGCTTCTGTTCAGCTCCAGTCTCCTGCCTTGACAGCAACAAAAGAACACGTCCACTTGAATGAAAGAATGAAATATGGTATGTTGTTTTTTAAAAAAACACCATTTTGGAGTACAATTTAAAGAGCTACATGAGCAAGGAGGACACCGGCAACTATCCCTGTTAAAGTACAGAATGGAGAAAGGATCTGCTAATGAGCTGTGGCCTATTTATGAACACAAGGTTCAATCTCTTGACACCTCCAGTTAGACCAAGAATTCCTTGGAAAGTCAAAGTATAGGCAGTTTCAGATATGCTAATACTACAGAAAGAAAAGGATCAATGTAAGAAGATTCTTTGCACAGACTTCCCTACCAGTGTCAAATAAATGCTTCTGAATCATGACTACCTTGCTTCAGATATGGTTAAGGAAATAGTCCAAAGTATGTAAACTCCAACAAGCACCATATCCGCTGCTATCTTCTGCATGGAAGACTCAGGCTAAATTTCCTTTGCCTTCTCTGCCACGCTGTCAACTTATCAGGTCATTAATGAATTAAAACCATGTAACAGGCTTACAGTACTTTGCCAATTAACCACCCCTATTTAATTAAGACAGCTGTCCTTCTTAAGCTCCCTCTGCCATATGCCTTACGGAGACATCCATAACAGAAAGGTTTTAGACCAACGGAAGTCAGTGACTTCAGGGGGAACAGGTAGAGGCTCACACTGCATTCTGTGATGTAGGTAGCCAGGTCCTGCTCAAGGAGGGATCGCTGGGTCTCGGAGGCTTTCAGTTCCACCTCCTTTTGGCTAAGTACAGCCTCCACCTCCGATACTCTGCGGTGCAAGCGCGTCATTTCCTGCTCCATCTGCAACAAACATTAAAAGGTTTAAAAGCATTTTCCAAGGGTCTACGAGCAGACAAAGGGTCGATGCACAACTCGGGAGGAAAATCTGTCTCTGGAAGAGAGACTAGGCTAGAATTCTGTTTAAATTCAAATACCATGGTTCTGCTCCTGGGGATTCACAGTTCCTTCTCAAGGAAAGGCAGTAAGTCTAAGTCACCCCATTCATTCAAGCCGCTTGTTCACATTCAGTCACTCTTCGAACCCCAGTTAGCAAAGAAGCCACAATCATTTTTTCACCTGATTATTTTTTTTTCTCCAGAGATGGGTCACTTTAGCTTTATCCCAAATCCATGTTGGACCAGAGGAGGGCTCCCCCCCATGTCCTTCTGAGGGATCAAATGTCAAGTCCAGCACGGAACAGAAAGAGAAGGAACTGCACACTCTTTAAAGTCTCTCAAAACAAAGAGAGGGGTTTAAAATGTATATCCCAGTGAGTTTTCTTTCAGCAACAGTTCTCACTGTCAAATCAGTGAAGCGGCAACAGTTACATAAGCAGAAACCGAAGGACGAAAAGAGGAAGCAGAAGAAGAGAGACTTCGTAGCATTCAGAACAGAACCGAAGCTGCTGAGCATTTGATGGAAGAAGAAATGCCACCTGCTGGAAACCACTGCCGTCACCGCCAGGCCAAGCAAAGGTCTAGAGAAAATCCAGAGCCTCCTTTTGTTATAAAATTAACGGATCTAGAAACAGACATGACCTAAACTCATCTCCCTCATCTAACTGGTGAGGAGGAAACTGCTCCACCGAAGCTGTGGACCCATCAGCAGCATCTGGTAGGTCCTTTGGCATACACAGGTTGAAGATCCCTGGAGCAAGGTGGGAGGCTGGCCATGTAAATAAATACCTTGTGGCACTTATCCTGGGTGTCTTGCAGCTCTTTACTCTTAAGAAGGATTTTCTTTTCCATGGAGTTAATCTTGGCTGGAGAATCCAAACCCAAAGCAGACCTTTAAAGAAAAAAAAATAACCCCGAATAATAATAATAATAATTTGCACATATTTATGTACCACCACACCAGAGCAGTCGAAATGGTTTATAAAAAGATCATTACAAACACACACACACACACACACACACAAACACCCAAAAAAACTGGTGTTATCTAACTTCAATTCAGAGCAGGCCCATTGAAATTAATGGATCCAAGTTAGTCAGACTATTTTCAATGGCTCTACTCTATAGGATTATCATTGGATGCAACTCTGAATATCAGATAATACAACAAAAGCAAAAACATAGCAGCACATTTTGATAATACCTTTACAGTCAGGTAAATGACTTAGTAACCCGGCCACCACATACTTTTTGTTGTGGACGGACTATAAGAGACATTATTTATGGAAGATTACTTATGGATATGAGCTAAGAGCTGTTTCCTCCCAGACGTTGCTGGACTACAATTCCCAACTCCCATATTCTTTGACCATTGGCCATGCTGGCTGGGCCTGATGGGAGTTGGAGTCCAAAACCCCTGGAGGACCCACAGGTCCTTCCTCACCCCACCCCAGAGGATGCAAAGACCCACCAGAACATCCCTACGAACCTTGTTGGGATAGGTTGCAAGATGAATATGAGAATGCCCTAGTTACAAGAGCTGAGCCACTTTATGTTGCTATTAAGCATCACATAAAGACTTTTTTTCTGGGAAAGGTGGGTATATTATTATTTTCACAATGGCCATCACAATACATGGCAATCTTTATGGCTGCAATTTAGAAGCTAGTCAAAGGAAGTAATGGGAAAGACATGAAAAAGGTGTTGCTGAGATAGAAAGACCCCATGGGGTTTTCAACCATTAAGCACAAGCTCCACTTAGAGTACATTATTGAGGTCTAACCTAGAGGCATTACTAGTAGCTTGCACAGTGTTTGTTAGCATTAGAAGAGCAAAGTGTTAAAACTCTTCATGGGGAAAAAGAAACATCCAGAGATGTGTTTAATGGCTTGAGAAAGACTGGCCTGGTTCAGACATCACCATCTCAGTGTGATAGACCAGGCGTGGAGAACCTCTGGCCCTCCAGATGCTACTGAACTACAACTCCCATTATCCCTGGCCATTGGCCATGCTTGTTGGGGCTGATGGGAGTTGTAGTTCATTTCTCCACAACTACGACAGACAAAAGGCAGAGTAAGACCCTCTTGCCCCTTACAACCTAGCATGCAGCTCCCAGAAGGTTGTCTATGTGGGAATGTGATCCTCTGGCTCAAAATAATACTAGCTATCCCAACCCCTATACAACGTTGTTGTCTAAAAAAAATCAAAACCTACTCTACATGCCAGCACTGTACAGGGCAAACACTGAAATATTCTTTCTGGAACTGGAGCTATTTGTTGTTAGACACTTTGTATATTAAGAACTAGATTGATAAAACAGGTTTATACTCCCCCGCCCATCCTTGAATGCTTACCATAATAAAAGAAAAAGGAAACCACAACATGCACACACAAAAGCTATTCACAGCAGCACAGTCTATTTAACTAGGCAATTAATAAACTGGTTGTAGATCCCTGGAGCGAAGAGGGAAGCCAGCCATGGAAATAAATACCTTGGGGTAGTTTGAATAGCAAATGCTTACTACTAGAGGAATTTGCAGAAGCACAAATGCAAAGAAAAAGCAGGTCGCCTGTCCATACACATACACTTGCCAAGGTGCCATTGGTCACTACCTTCTTTTTGTCAGATAACAGCACCCCAAAAGTGTGGCAGCTCCCCCAACTTCAAGGTTTCCCTGACTTTGGAGTTTCTACGAGGCTTACTGCAAGATTAGGGAGAGTCCCTGCCTTTCTCCAGACTCCAGTTGGGCTTGACCAACAGCAAGTCATACTGACATTTTCTGACCCTCCCCATGGCTCTACGTAACAGGGACACAAGTCCCAGTCTCCTTTCCACACAACTATGAAGGGGGGGGGGGGACATCTGCCACACCAAGCCTTCAAAGTTTACCTATGGCATTACAAACAAGACCTTGCTTTGCTCTCTCGGAGGAATGGACAGAACCAACGGTGAAAGCACTTTGGTTGGTTAACAGAACCAATTGCTATCTGTAATCTGGTGAAATAGAATGTTTTCTCCATGAAGGCCTGCCAAACCATACCCCAGCTTAACTTTTGGGTGGTAGGCAACTTGAGATTTTTATGTTTGTTTCATCTTAGTTGCTGCTTTGGTGATATCATTGTGTTACTGTTATCCTGCTTATGCACAAGTATGTAAGAGCGGCCCTACTGGATTGGGCCAAAGACCCACCTAGTCCAGCATCTTGTTCTTACAGTGCCCAATCAGATGCCCATGGGAAGTCCCTAAGCAGGACACAAACCCCCAAGTATTACTCTTCCCTCTTGTGATTCCCACCAGTATGAGTACAGAGGCATGCTGCCTTCAACAGTTGAGGGAGAACATAGCCAACATAGCCTCTGTAACCTAGTCATATTTATCTTTTCTCTCTACCCATATCACCAAATTTCTTTCTTCTTATTTCTCTGGATAATTCCTTCCGCACCTGTTTGCTGGTTTCTCAAGACTTCCAGCTCCTGCTTTCCTAAGCTCCTGCTTCCACCTTCCTTATCTAGGCTTTCAAAATGTTCTTCCTGTCAAGGATCTAAGGAGCCAGCATTCCTTCTCCCTATCGTACTCTATTGTACTTTGACTCATCTCAGGCAGTCAATGTAGAGTTTCACCACCACAAATGCCACTTGCACCCATAGCAGCCCTAGGAAACTGACTTCAAGATTATAGATTTCATAGAATTACAGAGTTGGAAGGGACCCTGAGGATCATCTAGTTCAACCCCCTGCAATGCAATGAAGCTGTCCCATACAGGAATCAAACCTGCAACCTTGGTGTTATCAGTACCATGCTTTAACTAACTGAGCTTAGATTCACTAACTCTTCTCCCTGGCCCACCATTTCTTAAATCAAACTGGTGGGTACCAAGGACAGGGCCTTTTCAAAGCTGGTGCTACAGCCCTATGGACATCTGCTACACACCTCTTGCTGACTTTAGCCGTGCTGCAAAAAACACTCTGCTCAGAAATCCTTTCTATGCTTAATCCTTAGTGTCTGTTTAGGGTGGCCCCTTAAATTCTTTGTATCGCCTGTGTTGTAGGACACCTTGGAAACATTTTATTTTGGAAGGTACAACTGACTGACTGAATTAATGAATGAAGGAAAAAGCGTTTCATCCCATTTTTAGAAGTACATACCCACCATCAACAGACTTTCTAATCTGAAGCCAGTTACTAAGGAACTACAATATGCCCAACTACAAGAGCGTTTAGTAATACGTATTCCAGTGACTACCCTGCACTACATAATTAGGAGAGCCTGCTCCAGATAAAGAAGAATTTAAAAAACGATCAAGAGACAAAATTCTTCTAACATAACCCAAACTAAGAAAAGGCACACAACAGGTCATATTAAAGCATGAAATGAACTTGGGCCATAACTTTGTTCCCAAACAAGCACTTACTTCAATATGCTGAATCCAGCTTCATGCAACACATGGGAAGCTGCCATACATTGAGTCAAACCATTGGTCCATTTTGCTCAATGCAATCTACACTGGCTGGCAGCAACTCTCCCGGATTTCAGGTAGGGGACATTCCCAGACCTATCTGAAGATGCTGGGGGTTGAACCTAGGACCTTTATGCAAAGCAGACACACTACCACTGAGCTATGCCCTTCCCCCAAACACCTACCCATTTCTTATTTCTTACATTTATATAACTACTCCCGCGCCCCAGGAGCTCAAGGTGGTATATATGGTTCTCCCCTCTCCATTTTACTCTCACAACAACCCTGTGAAGTAGGTTAGGCTGAGAGACAGCAAGTGGCCCAATGTCACACCCAGTGAACTTCATGGCTGAGCGGGGACTTGAAACCTGGTCTCCAAGGTCATAATCTGACACTCTAACCACTACCCCACCACTGACTCTCATGTACATCATCACTAAACGGTTTTGACAGCTCTGTTCACTGAAAACAAGAACTCAGATTAATGGGCAGTAGCACCACTGAGGTGTGGCATGAAAAATAAAAGCTATCCAAGTCACATAGGATCAGGAAACTGCAAGACTGTTGCTGCTTCTCTTCAGACATCTTCATTTATAAAGGTTTCGAAGTATTGCCCTAGTTCATACAAACAGATGCAGCAGTAGGACTGTTTCTCGACTATATCCTATCAGACTTCCAGCAGGTGACTGCAGGAGTCTTTTCCCAACCCCACCTGGAGAGACCAGGTATTGAGTCTGGAAACTTCTGAACTTCCAAATCCTCTTGGCTTTAAAAGAAGATTAGACAAATTCATGGAGGAGAGGGCTACTGATGGCTACTAGCCACAATGGCTATGATCTGCCTCCATAGAGAGAGGCAGCAATGCTTCTTAATATCAGTTGCTGGAAACCAAAGGAGGGGAGAGTACTCTTGGGCTCAAATCCCAGAGGCAAGTGTTGCCACAGGCGCTGTGAGATCAGGATGTTAGACTAGGTGGACCATTGGCCTGATTCAGCAGGCTCTCCTTATGTTCTTATGTATGCACAGCTCTACCCACCAAGTTACAGTCCCTCTCGGTCATGCAATACCACTTCCAGTTGCTAGTGGGGAAATGTTTGTGAACTTTACCACCCTATAGGCTATTGATATGAACTGCTTAAATTGGGGACTGATCCCTGGTTTCTTTCTCTTCCTACAGAATTTTTTCTCTTCCTCAGAACTCTATATACTCTGTTGATGGAACTACCAAAAAGCCCCCTCTGCAGATCATAAAGCCCAAGAAGGCCAGTAGGGAAGGAGGTCATTTATCTGTTAACTAATTAGAAGGGGAGAATTAACTAATTTAACCCACTGAGACCACCAATTTTGGTAGTACTAGCTTAAGTAACAGCCCATCTCAGTTTTCCCTAGAACCCTTTTCACATTTAATAACTCTTCAGTACAATATAATTTAAGTGCCTAAGCCTGCTGAGGAAGTATTTTTTTCCACAGGCTGCCTAGAGTTTTTAAAATGTCTTCCATTTAATAAAAGTATAGCAAATTTGTTTTTCCCCTACATTTCAGAACTAATTAGATTTTTTTCTACTGCAGTATATTTGAGGAAGGCTACACACCTGGCATCCTGTAGGTTTAAGACTATTGTGGTTTGCTCCGTGTGGAGCTGCTTATGGTGACAATCCAGAAACTTCCAGTCACCCAGTACGTTCCCTAACTGGTGTTCTTTCATTTTTTTATTCTATTCTATTTATTTATTTTTAAATTATTTTAAATGAATAGCAGCAGCTAGGATGCTTATAGCACAAGTATGGAGGACGCCACAGGGCCAGCTAATATCTTTATGGCATGAAAACATACGGAACCTGGCCATCACGGAAAAGATAATGCATAATATTGTTATGAACTTTGCAGGGGGGAAGGCTAGAGCCCCCTAAATGTGTTGTGGGTTTGTGTCATATCCTCCCCATAATTCTTTGCTTTAGTAAAAGTCAGAATTAAACAAGGTTTGATTACACCGGGCCAAACACGGAAATTCCTACGTTTAGCGTATGCAAACAAACCAGGCTAGCAGGGCAGGGCCAGCTGAGTGCAAGCCTTTAAGGCTGGCATGGCCAAACTTGGCCCTCCAGTTGTTTTAGGACTACAGTTCCCATCATCCCTGACCACTGGTCCTGTTAGCTAGGGATGATGGGCGTTGTAGTCCCAAAACAGCTGGTGGGCCAAGTTTGGCCATGCCTGCTTTAAGGAATAAAGCAGAGTAAATGGCCCATCAATGGAAACCATCACCAGGGCAGAAGACTCCCAGCCAGTCAACAGAGGAGGGCGGTTTCCAAGGTTACAGGGGGGGCCCTTCTTTGCTGAGTGCTAGTAGACAGAGGCAAAGGCCAGGTTTAGGATTTCTAATAGGAATGCTGTAGGGCCAGGGATGTCCAACCAGTAGATTGCGATCTACCAGGTTTTTTTATACAGTCTCTTGGGAGTTGGACATGCCTGCCGTAGGCTTTGGGAGCTCCTTGGAGTCAGACAGCAGTGAGAAGGAGGAAGAGGGGCAAAGCTCCATGTGAGCTGGGAATGACAGGCTGGAACTAAGAGACACGGGGAGATGGTGTTTTGGCTGCCCTGGAATCCAATACTGCACTCCTGCAGGAAGCAAGGCCACTAGAGATGTGAATGCTTTGAACTCTCCACAGTAGATCCAGGTGTATATAAGTGCAAACAAAACCCTGTAACTTAAAGATATTAGTCTCTGCCGTACCCAATTTTCCAAGCCCAGCTGGAATCTTGTCACTGCTAGGCAGAGTTTGGGGGTGGCGTGCAACAATATAAAAGTCTCCAAAGGTTTAGAAACCACAGAACATGTTTATGTGGTATAGTCCGATTTCATTTCTAACGCTACAATACTTATCTCAGGGCTCTTTGTCGCCACCAATGTGGAAGTGTGGCAATCTTAAAAGCTTATTTACAGGTGTTTGCTCATGTTTTCTCACCTTGTACTTAAGAAAGAAACTGATGGCCCTTTATTTGAGTTTCTTCCTCTTGTGTTATTTTTTGTGCATGATTGAAAAAATTTTTATTTTACTTTTTTAAGAGTGAATTCTTACCCACCCTTCACCACAAGGTCCTAGGGCAGGAAAGAATCATATAGTATTAAAACCTAATAGAACTACTTGGAACAAACTAAAGAATATATACCAGACAATAGAGATGGCATCTCTCACACACAAATAAATAAATCACACAAAAACTTAGCTGTCAATGTCCAAGCTAAAGACGAGTACCTTTTGGAACCACATTCTGCCCATCTTAGAAGAATTTCATTAGCTGTGAAGTTGTTTCAGGACCATGAAAACCCTAGACTAGAGAGTCTTGATTAAGGGTGTTTCAGAAAAAACCCACTCCCATACAAGCTCCCCACCCCTTGCAAGGTGTTAAGGTCTTTGGATGAGACCCTGCTATGGTTTACCACTCAAAATGGGCCTTTTTAAGTAATGGAATATCACCTGCCACCAGTGTTCCCCTTGAAGTCCACAAGGTGGGCCCATTCCTGTGGTTTTTTGATGAAAGGTTTGATGAGCTATAGCCAATCATTTTTTTAAAAAATCCTTTTGCTGCCTTGAAAGTTTTTAATGGGTCCCAACTGTTACTAAATGGTGTTGTAGATGTCACTGTTTACATTGCTTGTAAACAACCTGGTTGGTCTATTTGGGGGCAGAAAGGCAGTCAGGAAACAAAAATAAAAATTAGCCATCTCCTGCAAAGGCTTGCTCTAAATCCTCAAGAGGGCTTTCATGCAAGAGCATCTTCTACAGTCTCTGTCAAAACATTAACTAACCAATATTATCATATATTTGCAAAAGCATGCAAACTATTGCATTGCTTGAACCATGGATGTTTGCCACCTTGGGCTACTTTGGGAGGAAGAGTCGGACAGAAATAAATAAAATAAATAAATAAGCTTGAGCTTGTGGCAGGTGAGCACAACAGCACCCACCAGCCCTGTCTACAACTTCAGCTTCCTTTGTGTGCATCTGATGCAATCTCTACAGTACACAGGGCAGAATTTCAGATGCATAGGCTTAAGAATGCATGTGACTTTGGACATTGTCACAACTCCTAATGCCGAGATGCAATGATCATGCATTAGAGCCAATGAGGCAATATGGCGCGGGATGGAGGAAGAGAGATGATCCCAATGTAATACCTTAGTTTACATCATTGATGTCAGGAACCTGTGGCCCTCCAGATGTTCATCAGCAGGACCAATGGTCAGAGATGCTGGGAGTTGTTGTTCAACACCTTCAGAGAGGGACCACAGGTTCCTCATCCCTGCTTTACATACACATTAATAGGCTGAGTAAATGCTGGTTTTCTCCAAAGCCAGAAACCAGTTT